GTACTGCGGTGTCAGCCTTGCTGACAGCAACTCAAACATCTGGACTCAAGAAATCCTCCTGCCTCAGCCTCCCGAGTTGCAGTTTGGCCAGAGCCGGGTTCAAACCCACCACCCGCCATATATGGGGCTGGTGCCCTACTCACTGAGCCACAGGTGCTGCCCCCAGATACAATTTTCAAATTAAGATTAACTGAGGTTGTCAGGGACTAAAGCAATGCAATTCTTTTGCTTCCTAGTATGGTGTCTAGAATTAGTAAACACTCATACAAAATTTATCATTTAAAAAAATAGAAAAAATTGGCAAATAACAAAATCACTTGCAAAGTGCTTATTAGTGCAGTGTGTCCAGCACAGAACATATACTGGAGGTCTCAGAAACGAAACATGCAAATTGAGGCATGTAGCAGCCACACCAACCCTACGCCACACAGCACACTAGTGGGTGGTCTTTAGTTTCTTACTAATCAAAATAATTCACCCAAGTTGGTTTCAGTATCCATTTTTTTTTTTTTTTTTTGAGACACAGTCTCAAGCTGTCACCCTGGGTAGAGCGTCGTGGCATCACAGTTCATAGCAACCTCAAACTCCTGGGTTTTAAGTGATTCTCTTGCCTCACAGCTTCCCTAGTACCTGGGACTACAGGCACCCACTACAATGCCCGGCTATTTTTGGTTGTAGTTGTCATTGTTGTCTGGCAGGCCCAGGCTGGATTCGAACCTGCCAGCTCTGGTGTATGTGGCTGGCACCCCAGCAGCCTGAACTACAGGCGCCAAGTGTAAGTTTCAATATTTTATAACAAAAGTAATAAGCAAACAAAAAAAATTAATATTGCCATATACATAAAAATTTAATAGGGTAGCACCTATTAGCTCAGTGGGTAGTGCACTGGCCCCATATGCCAAAGGTGGCAGGTTTGAACCTGACCCCCACCAAACTGCAACAACAGCAAAACAATAGGTGGGCATTGTGGTAGGTGCCTATAGTCCCAGCTACTAGGGAGGCTGTGGCAAATGAATCAATTGCCTAAGCCCAAGAGCTGGAGGTTGCTGTGAGCTGTGACATCAAATCACTCTATGAAGGGTGACAAAGTGAGACTATCTCTAAAATAAATAAATGTGTCAAATTTATCGTATTCCATACTTGTGTATACTCCCACAGGATTCTACTATTTGTGGGCAGCACCTGTGGCTCAGTGGTTAGAGCACCGGCCCCATATACCAAGGGTGGCGGGTTCGAACCTAGCCTCGCCCAAATTGCAACAAAAAAGCACCCAGGCATTGTGTTGGGCACCTGTAGTCCCAGTTACTTAGGCGACTGAGGCAACAGAATCACCTAAGCCCAGGAGATGGAGGTTGCTGTGAGCTATGTGATGCCACTGCACTCTATTGAGGGCAATAAAGTGAGACTCTGCCTCTGTTTAAAAAAAAAAAAAAAAAGATCCTACTATTTGCACAAATTATTTCAGGCACAACTGTGAAAATTATTCAGGAGGAAGTATATGATGATGCTTACAGACTCAAGTCAGGTAACATTAACAGTTAATGTGTGCTGTCTTTTTGTCTGCAAAATGAACAATGCCTACAATTGTTCACACCAAAAGAACATCTTGCTCGAAGGTTAAGTGGGTGCATAAATATTTTAGATTATTTCCTTTTGTTAATACAGTCATGTTTTACATATAGTTCTGTAATCCATTTTGAGTTAATTTTTCTAAGAATTTCAGGTTGTGATTTATTTATGCTCGTTTGGCACCAACTTTTTTTTTTTTTTTTT